ATCAGGGCGAGAAGCTCAACCCTACCATCCTGCCTTGCAAGATAGAAAAAATAGAGGATTCTTCTCCTGTTTTGTTCACTCAGAAAGCCACAACAAACCTAAGCTTCAGGAGTAAAATTGAAAACAGAAAGCTTGTTTGTTTGGGGTTTCTTTACAGTAAAATCTGACCAAAAGTGCAAACAGACAGGTCCAGAGGGAAGGAGAGCGAGGTGTTTGTCCTGTGACATCAGGTAGAAAAGGCCACCTTCCTTATGAAACATTAGAGCTTGGTGACAGATCACGAGGACCTTGGCATGCTAAGTTGCTCACGGTAACGCTTGGGTGTGTTTGGGATTGTCTTGTGGCTTTGTGAATTGGCAAATATTCTCCTGAGCTGCCTAGACTACTCCCAGATGACTATTACGGAGCACATGGTGCAAACCTCCATGTGCAGTGCAGACCAGGCCTGTTCCACTTACTTAGAAATATTCTGTGGTCACAGACACAGCACACCTTTCTAAAAAGCCAAGGAGTTAAGAGATATAGATACAAGAAAACAGATGTACTGGGGAATGGCTGCAAGGGAACCATAGGAGAGTGGATGGACTGGCTGAGGAGAATAGATCATTTAGCTCCTCTCTGACCAGGACATAAGAAGTCACCCAGGGGGGACAATTCTCCTGTCACCACACAAGAATATTCCCTTTCACACAGAAGGAGCCAAGTTATGTGCAGAACTTTGAAAACAGACAATAACATTTAATGTCAAGTTGTATATTTGAGTGCAACAACCGAATCCACTGAGATGGGCAGAGTTCATCCATCATTCAGGACAAGCCCCCTGCTTTTCTTTGCCCTAATTCATCCCCTCTTCCCTTCTCTCCAGAAAACACATTGTAGTTGTTATTTATCATGTGAGCACACAGCTTGACACTCAACCCTCGTTACTTGCACACCATGACTTGCAATATCTGCCACACTCGGTCTCAAGGCTACCCTGAGGATCCAGGCTCTCTTCCTTTCCATAACAGGATCCTGCAAGAGCATCCCCCTGGCAAGGCACTTCATCTTCTTCCTGCTGCAGTGAGGTTAGCTGACACACACGCTCTGCTAAGTGTCCCAGCACCCTCACAGCTGAGAAACAGGAGGAATGCAGAGCGCATCTAGCCTGGAGACACTGCTGTGTCTGTTCCTCCTACAGAGCAACCCCACAAGCTTAGTGGTAAGGATCTAGTGTTAAATGTCTTGCTAGAATTTTTTTGTGAAACAGAGTTGAACTTCGGCCTCCCTTCCCCTAAGCCAAGGTTTGAGAAAGTCTCTGCAAACACGATGCAAGCTCTGCTTTTTGCACAATCTTCTCTTCCCCCAAACCAGCATTCCTCCCCCTTCTCGGCTCAGTGCTCCCACTCAATCTCCCCAGCAATCAAAGACAGATAACCACATCTACAAATGTTATCAGCTATCCTGGACTGACACAGACACTTATGACTCCCGAAGCCATAATTCCTCTGAGCAACAAACATGTGAGTGCTGGAATACATACATACTGAGAGGATGGGAGAATATATATATATTATATATATATTTTTTTACACATATAAGAATATAAAGGAGAGAGTTCACATAGCCATATATACAAGGAATACCACTAGGAAAAACTACAGTTCTTACCTTCCCCAAAATTATGACTCTGTCACTACTGTATAGAGGGAAAGAGTCACACAGAATTTTATTATTAGGGTTCAGTCTCCCCAGAAACTTTTATGCCAGCAGTGGCGGAAAACTGTTAACATTAGTGCATTCCAGTGCTAAGATGCCATGTCTAGCACTAGATGATTTACAAGTGAAGGATGCTTTCTAAGGACTGAAACATATCCTGTATTGGATGAGAAAGGAGCTGGATCTGGGCAGAGGGGACCTCCACATTGCTCCACCTCTTAGGAGACAACGGGTGCTGCATCATGTAGAGCAACGCATCTTCTTGTGTCCCCCAGGGCCAGGACAAGAGCAGGACAGGGGGAAGGAGCCAGTGCAGGGCTTGAGGATGTGTCAAGTGGCAACCGGCACGTGAAGGGTGCCGGGAGCTGATGCACAGCTCAGCTGGGATTTCGGAACATGCGTGGGCTGTTGCATCCCAGGTTCCTGGGAACATTTTAATTGCTGCTTTCAGACAAAGGATTCATGCAACAAAAGAAACAGGTTTATTGATTAGGAGTTACAGGCGCTGCGTGCGTGCTCGCTGGTGCCAGCGCAGGGCCGCGCAGCGGGGAGGCGCGGGGGGCAGAGCCCAGATGCACGTCTCAAAGCTACCTTCTCCTCCAACAAACACAGCTTCCACCTCATTTAGAAAAGGATTTCAGCAGTCTGGGTAATTAGCGGCAATCTCTGCTTCAAGCTTTAATCCTACATTCCGTTACTAAAGTTACTAAAACTGGGGACAGCCCTCAGTTTGGAGTACTGGCCCTGATGGTTAAACATCCATTAGCTTTGCAAGAGGAAGACCAGGGCCCTCATCCCTGCAATAACAAGGGAGATCTTTTGCATGGTAAAGAAGCAAGGCCTGCAAACACCTTGACCAGGAAACTCCCCCCAAGGCAGGGAGATTTGGAAAATTACTTAGGGATACGGCCTTCAATTATTTGGTGAGCCTGGGATAGGTCAGAGTTGAAAGAGGACTTGCTAGCTGTGTTCCAGGCAAGGTGGCATCTTGCCTTTTCAAGGGTGACATGTCTCAGATGTGAGACAGAGCCTTGCTAAGGGCCTGCCAGAGCAGATATCAGCAAAATGACTGGGTTTCTTTAGCTGTTTTTCTTTTTAAAGGAGTTTTTACTGTTTCTCACTATAATTATAGAAATAAAATAACTTGGATGCCTCAGATCCTCCTGTCTAAAAACAGCAGGCAAGTGCGTTTTATGAAAGAAGCTGCTGTCTTTGTAAAAAGAAACTTCCTTTAATCATTTCCAGGTTATCAGCCCTGCAAAGCCCCTGGTAGCGGGTGAGCCTTTCAGCAAGAGATGGATGGCCCACTCCTGAACAAAGGCTCGGGCAATTTGGCAGAGTTAGTGGAAAGTTGAAAAAAAAAAATTAGTCACCAGTGTGAGCACCTCCAGACATCCCTTTGAATGTCCCAGGTGAGCACCATCACTCATCCAGAGGCACGTAACCTTTCTATTCCTATCTGGCATTCACTCTCTGGCCTTTAGAATGGGTGCTCTTCTCATATTCACAATGTAAATCATCACACTTCCCCTTTTTATGATATTCTAATTAAGAAAACTGTGATAACAGTAACTAATTATGTCCATAACACATTTTGAAGAGATCTCTTTGCCTGTCAACACTCAGTGCTAGAGTCTAAACTTTGGCAAGGGTCCCAGAGCCAAAGAGGGGTATGGAGCAAGATGCCACTAACCTCCTGTCATTAATCTCAGATAAAGAAGTTCCTATGAACAAGCAGAGATGCATTTGCCACTTGGAACACCTCCTGCCTTGTACAACGTCTTTGATAAAGCTCATTTATGCCCTTCTAAGTGCTAGCTCAAGCACATAACCACTGTAATTTTACTATTTCAATTTCCTGAATAAACTATACCCACATGGAAACGAAAGTAAGGAGTAGGTATTAGAATGCATTGCAAATGGTACTTCACTTTTTGGGTGATGCTAAACTAAATCAGTGCATTAAAAGAAATAGAAATGCAACTCAATATGATTGAGAAGTTTCCCAAAATACACACAAAACTGGAGTTTTGCAGCTGAAACATCCAGACATTTCCCTTCTAGCTAGCAGAGGCAGTCACTGGCATAGTGAAACCCACCAAAGGGTTTTTTGTGTTTTGGTGAGAGAAGAGAGATAGTCAGGGCTTGGTACGAGTAGAGACTTAACAATTCCCTAGTCTGGGGGAATTCAGTATCGTTGAGAGCAGCAATGTCAATAGCTGCCATCTGTGTGTCCCCATCCTCCACTGCCCACCCTGAGCACCCCAGCCAGCTGGAGCCCTGCAGGCACCTGCAAATCCCTGTGCTGGGGTATCTGCCCTTAAAAACATTGGAAAATTCACTCCTGACTTTGCCCATTTGTAGAGCAAAGTTGGGGCTCAAATTCCTATACTTCTCTTACTTGTCTAAAAGTGTCTTCCCCGGCTAAATTCTTTCCGTGGTTTAATTTCTGAGCAAAATTATCTAACATGCTGGATTTCATATTGGAAAATGACATGTGAGCTGTTTAAATGCCACAGCCAGTGGTGTCAAAGGAAACCCATCATCTTGATGAATAAAGGATGAAATCAGCAGGTATCTGTCCATCTAGATGGCAGGGAGTGCATCTGGAGGGAGTTTTAATCTTTGAGCTGTCAGGCTTGTGATTTACAGCTTTTTTCCCCAGTAAATTGATTATGTAGATTCCTGTGGTCTAAGGAACGTGTGCCATGCTCAAAAGGTGGCGTAAATATATTTTATAGCACTAACAGCTTGTTTTGTTTCAATCTCTGGCAGATTATAACTGACACCAAAGAGCAGCGCGATGAACAGCTGCTTCGCAAGCCCTCTCTGTACAAGGCAATTGTATTTGACAGTGTTACTGGCAGGACAAACCTCAGCAATTTTCAGCTAACCTGTTGTGATGGGGACTGGAGCAGCTCTGCAATGCAGTTTTGGAGGGCATCCGAGCACTGTGCTTTGGATGCAACCAGAGATGAGCATTTGGGCATTTCTTTTGCAAGAAAAGAGGCACACCATGCCTCTTTTATGCAGTAGAGTCCTTGCCATTTGGAAAGCAATGTGTGTTAAAAGGACTAGATAATGAGCCTATTAGCAGCGCTAATTGCACTTGTATTAGCAGGTTAAGAAGTGCAGGGCTATTGCCAAACCCATGCCTGCAATTCCATTTCCTAGAAACAGGGAAGGTGACAACAAAACAGCAGTGTTTGGGTTGCAGATCAGGCCATCTCAGACAGGTAATTCAACACCTATCTTGCACAACAGGCTTCCAGAAGAAACAAAAACTTGCACTTATGCAATGCTGAGAGCTCTTCCATGCTGAGAGGCATGAGCTGGCACATTCCCAACTACAGCCTAGCATGCAATCACAGACCCAAAACAGCCCAGCAAAACCATTTTGAACTAAAACGCAGAACAACCCTTGCACAGGGACCCAATATCTTGGACGTGGGGAGAGGGAGTAGTTTGTTTAATCTTGAATCTTGGTTCTGCCCTACTTAACTCTACTAGAACGGATTGATTAGACTACCCCTAACCTCAGTTTATAGCAAACAGCTTGGAAATTAAACAAGGAGGGAAGGAAGGCAGGGAGACAACAAAGATTATGTGGCATCTCCATCTTGGAAATTAGGAAGATTATCAAAACTCAGCCTGAGCAGCTTGGGAGCTGGCTATGCTCAGAAGACCTCCCAAAGATCCTTCCAACCAAAATCTTTCTGATTCTAAAAATGAAGTCAGCAAGTACAGCAAAAAAATAGTTCAGTTCTGCTCCTCATCCTCCCCATCTTCCAAAGCATCTTGATGGCTTTGATATCATGCATAGGCTTCACCTACAGAAGATGAAAATTAAAGCATTAGCTACACTGAAATTCTACAAGTTTTTCTACAGCCTATATCATGAATACAAGCACATTTTATTCGGTAAAACACTTCCCTCATCCAAAAACAGACTATTTAAAAATTAGCAGCTGAAATGTTTGAGAAAAATATTTTATGCCAACTGCAAGGAAAAAGATGTATATAACAATATATACCAGTATTGACTGGTATACCAGTAAACTGGCAATATTGGTATATCCCCTTCATGCTCATTTTGAGGGCTGTTTTCAGAGCTAGATTGTGTAATGGGGGCTGATGTATTGCATAGACATACATAGACTTCAGAGAAGTATGCTTAAAAGTGGAAAATAAGGCACCAGGAGGCGAGAGGAATATTTAAATGAATGTATGTGTTAATAATCTACTAAGTTTTAAATAAATTGACTCATATCAAGATATCGCTACATGCATGGACACACATACACAGTGCAGGGTTAGTAGTTTCAGTGGAATGGAAAAAGAAAGGAAGAATTGGAGGAGGGGGAAAAAGATCTCATTGACTTCCTTTAATTTCAAAGTAGATTTCAATTGCGGGAAAAATTATGTTTTCCCCTCAACAACAAACCAACCAACCAAAGTTTCATCTAAGAACTGAATAATTTCAGCTGTCTTTGAAAAGCTTGAAATTTGCAGAACAGAACAATTCTGGAAGTACTCTTTAGCAAGAAAAGCCAGCTTTTGCTAGGAAGACCCTTTAGGGAGTTTTAACCATGCAATGGTCTATAACTTGGCATCTGCTCCTTTGGCAAACTCCTTATAGCCTCACACTTGTTTTGGGACATCAGCAGCTCATTCATTATTTAGGATATTGCACTTGCCAAAGACAGACTGGCATTTCTGGGAGATGCTCACAAATTCTCCATGACTTCTAGCGCATGACTGCTTATCTAAAACTTACACCAGAAATATGGCATTCATCATCCTCTTCTCCTTAACATTTCTCCCCTTCATCAGCTGATGGTTTAGATCAAAACCAGAGGGCAGAAACAATTCCATTTAACACTGAGCAATCTGTTGTCTGAAAGACACGCATCCATAAATGATGAGCTGCTGATCACACATAGACAAAAAAAAAAGTAAATTAATTGCTTATTGAGAAAGAGAGTGAATTTGTGACTTATCTCCCCTGTCAACTCCCATCGATTGCTGCCTGCTGCTCTGCCAAGGGACGGCGCTTTTCCTTTCGGAAGCAATGCCATGTTAATGATCCCATTCCCACCAAGAGCCAACGCATCCGTGCACTGCAGGGGTCTTCCCCACCCCTGAACAAGCTTGAGTAGCACTATGGACTTAAAGACTAACGAGTCATAAATAAAATAAATAAATAAAACATATTCTGTATTTGTTATAAAACAAATAATGTATGATTTCTATGAGAAATCATACATTAAGTACTAGTATTTCTGAACACAGAAGCCCTTGAGCTTTCCCAAACATAGCTGGAAGAAAAGCCAGCTCCTCTGCACACAAGCTAGCCATGCACCATTTGCTTATTTCTGCTGGCTATATAGGACCCAAGAAAGAAAAATGAAGGAATTAACTCCGAGGAATGTGATAGTCTGTTGTATAATACTGAACTGATTCAGGAAAGGAAAAAGGGGAGCCTCCATGAGAAAAACACAGGGCTGACCCCTTCTGCACATGTCCCCAAGGTCTCGTCTGACCCCTTCTGCACATGTCCCCAAGGTCTCGTCTATAACAGCCCCATAGCAAGGAGCCTTTTGAAGCCACCATTACAAGGATTTTTGAAAGATATATTTGAATATTTTTCATGCACGGAAGTCTGCTTCACTGTCCTTTTAGGATAAGCATTTGAGTGGGCAGGTTTTAGAGCGGGAGGTTATCTTTGGAGCGCAGCAGGCATTAGGGCACAGGCAGGAGGCAGCAGCAGGGTGCAGCTGCCTGACTTTAAGCACAAGCTGAAAGCCTGTGTTTGTAACTCTAGACGCCCGTGAACATGCGCACCTAGCTTCAGCACCAGTGGAAAAAACCTCCACGGTGACGGATGCAGCAACTGCCCCCTGCAACCCTTCCCGCTGTGGCTGCAGCTCCCGGCTCAGCAAGCCACGCTGGCTCCTGCCTCTGCAGGGCTTCAGCGTGCTCATCTGTGAGCTTTGCAGCTGGTTTACAACTGATTGAGATGTCTCCGTCTCTGACGGTGGGAAGAGGGAAAAAAAATAAAAATAAGTAAATAAAAACCATGATTAAGACACCTTTCTTCTGGGTTAACATAGTCGTGTCAGGCTCCTTAACACACAGTCGTGTCAGGCTCCAAGTTAATTCATTTCAGCTCCAGTGCAGACAAGGGGAGACTTCATTGCTGGCACAAATATAACCCTATTAAGTTTCTCCCTCTGTCTGCAAGGATGCTCTGTTTGCATGCCTTTATCCCCAAGATGTGCATTTTATCTGATAACACCATTTATCAAGCGTGTCACGCTTGCTTTTTCATTTGACCAGCCACAGAGGTAATGCTTATAAGTTATCATGGGCCTTAGATACCTTAAAGATCTTCCTGTTACTATATACAGAACTGGAATAACCACATCCATTTCAAATTTGGAACACAGCCAGCTGGAGCATTGCTTTTTTCATCAGTTCATCTCAAAACCTATGTTAAGCCCTGCAAACAGCACTGCCAAGAACCAAGATCCACAGCGGGAGCCAGCAGCAGCATAGGACAGAGCTTATATTTGTCATGTACTCCCCTTGTTGGCGACCATCTACTTTACTCACCAATAATTTACATAATACAAAGGTCTTTATACCAGGAGAGCTCATTTATGGAGCAATCCTGTGACATTTGTACATACGCTTTCTGCAGACTGTTACTCCAGTGCTGTGATAAATGCAGAAGCTCTGATATATCAGGGGGTGCCAGATATCTGAGGAGATATCCTCAACTAAGGATGCCCTGTTGTAAATCCAAGCCCAGAGTAGCTCCAGCTTCTCCTAGACTGAGACCTAATGTTCCAAAGCATCAGGTCCAAAGTCACAGCATATTCATCGTAGTCCTGTATTTTCTAGTAGATTTCTGAAAGAGTGTTGTGTTGCATCTCCAAGCAACTAAGTCCAGATTATTCCTGTTTATATGAGGAACCATTTATGCCTGTGAAGTCATCATACTACCGTGAGGGAAGAAAATACACATACATATATGCAGTGTGGGAAGGGAGTCCGATATGTATGGGGCTCAGATTTCTGCAATGATTTGTCTGGGTAAAGGTTATTTAATTTAGTGAGATAGGCTGTGCTCAAGTGTTTAAATTAGAAACCTGCTCCAAGCTGAGGATCTTTGATTAGACAAAGAGGAGAGCAGTAATCACTTGGCATGCTGCGTCTGAGGAGCAAGCCGCCACTCAGAATTCCTAATTTGTAACTTATTTATGCACTGCAAAACCACACACCTTTATGTTCTATATATTCTGCTTTACGCCAAATGACTAAATGCTCCTTATGTGAGCAGACAGCCATTTGCAGTCACGTCATTTATCTTTCAAAATAGCAGCAGAGCAATGCTGTCCTCCTAGGCTGGAGCCTCTCCACGCAATTGTGTTTAGTGGTTATGCTTCCATATGCATGGACTGAGAACACGCTATGGGCAAGTTCAAGCAGACAAACTTGCCAAGGGAGCATCTCAACCACTAACTGTGATGGTCATCACACAAGTGTGCCAAAACCCCACCACAGAAGTGGAGCTATATCCAGAAACCCAACTAGTTCTATCCTCAGGGAGAAACAAGTACTGCTGTTATTTTTATGGCAATTTTAGTGGCATTAGCATGCACTAGGCTCAGCTGCACAGTTTTGTCTGCAACCAGCAGACAGATCTTTGCCTGCCGTCTTTCCTGGTTCATTAGCATGTCTTGCATTAAGTCATCAAATCAAGAGCCTTGCAGTAGAGCAGAGACAACTTGTTGAAAGAAGCTGGTTAAATATTCCGTGCAGTTTCATTGTGGATAGTTTCATCAACAGTGTCTGCACTCTGTGGTATAGCAGGAACACGTTTGAGTCCCAGGGCCAAAGCTGGGGTGTGGGAAGCCACCAAGACTCCCCTAGCACAATGGTTTTCAGTGGCCAGGAACAGGGCTTTTCACTCCTAAAGGAGACACCTTAGATCAGTGGCTTCAGGAGATAGGAAAATACACCTTATATAGGATAGTTCTTTCACATGGTGGTTGTCCAGGAACAGTTGCACAGCTTTGCACTATCAATAAGGTACATGTTGTAAGCCATGAGCTGGAACTCAGTACTTGGCTGGGCTAACACACTTTTAAGGAAGAAGCTCAGGATTTTGCTACATATCTCAGCATACAACCCCAAACACCCCCTCCACATCCCATTCATTGCCAGTCCATCCTGCAGAGCTCTACCAGAAACACAGGTCGAGCAGCAAGCTAAGGAAGCATCACGGACTTCGGGTTGTCCCCTGGCAAACTGTCACCACAGAACCCTCTCTGTCCGGGGACTTTATGCCCTGCAGGGGCAAAGCTTTCTTGCCAAATGTGCACAACCCTGCCCACCCATCAGGAATGGTGATACCCAGCTCAGAGGCTGTTGATACCTCCTCCTTGAAACGAGTCCACACAGCGCTCCACCACAGCCACCTTCTTTGGTGGAAAATTACACAAAGCCGTCCTAGTTCTGATCCCATATTTCTAGATAGGCTCCCAAACCCCAGCCTTCATCACATCCCTGCAAAATCATTAACTAGTGACTGAGACCTGATTCTGCAGCAGCTTCTCAGATGGAGCACTTGGCTCACGCTGTGCACACCTGTTAGGGGTGCTCTCTTGAGAGCACAGCAGTGATTTTTCTTGGTAATTACCATCACAGCCACAGCTACAACGTGGCACTTTGTTACAGACAAAATGACAAAACTGCAAGACATTGCTGCCTTCACTGCCCCTTTCCTCTATGATTTCCCTGGAAAATGGCTGGAGGAGTCGTGGTACAATCAGATTCAAACTAACAAGGACTATGTTAGCGAAAAAAATGTATATATCCCAAACTTTCAGAAGATATTTGCTGCCTTCTGGATTCAGACTAGTAGGAAAAGAGGGAGCAAAGGAAGGAGATACGAAATTTACCTTTGTTTGTAATCTAGTATATTTACCACCACCAAGCTAGCTCACACACACAGACACAAGTTGTATGTATATTAAAAAGCATCTTTTAAAGATCCTCAGACAGATGTGAAAGCTAAATTCTATAACTAAGAAAGTACCTAAAGAATGAACTGTGAAGAATACCACCACAGAAGACCTACTAACTTGGTGAACTGGATAAAATTTGGCATAAACCAGCACAGGTAACTGGGGGAACAGCATTGCTCCTGAAGGAGAAGGGCAAAACCCATCTCAGCAGCAAAGGAGTCTTGGGGGAACCAGTGCCCAGGCCCTTAACCAGTGCCCTTCTTCACTGGGCTGCACTATCATTCCAGTTTGATAAAGCACCTCTCCAAAGCACTTAAAGCTGCCAGGATATCACAGGAAAAGGGAGGCTCTTTTAATGAACTAGTGACTAATGAGATAAAAAGCAGGGGCTAGGAATAAGTAGGGGTTTTCACAGCACAGGGAGGCATGCAGGGATCTGCTCATTGCGGTTGGAAACCATCTAGAAACCCAAAGTTTGTGGGTGAGACAAGTCACAACAGCAAAGCTGGAAGATATATATGTACAAATGTATATATACATGCATGTACACAGAGTCTCAGGGCCACACAAGTAGTTTCCAGAAGGGCCATGAAGGGCAGAGTGTGTTTTTATGAACCGTAACAGACACTTCAGATTCTGCAGCAACCACTACAATAAAGCTTAAAAGTGAAAGCGTTTCAGTTTATTTATTAGCTAATAATTTAGGCCTTTGCTTGTTATTTTAACAAGCTGGCTGAGAATTTCAGTTCATCTTAAAGCACTTCTTAGCCCCACTGAGTTCAGAGCCCTGGTCCCAGCAGGGCGCTCCAGGAGCTCATGGCCTTCCTGCTTGGGATGGCAAAACACCTTTCCTGAAACCTCTCAGCACTTGGGGAAGAGGAGCAAGGCTAGACCAAGCCTTCTGGAGCTACCTGGATTCACATCCATGCTTCAGGCAGCTCCAGCACAGCATGAGGTCCAGGACACCAGTACATCTTTCAATCCCACTGACATCAGCCTCTGCCTTCTTCCATATAGGTGAATCTTTGCTGCAAGGACACATTTCACATACCTGTATAGGGACACAAAATGGAGTTCCTGCCAGCTCAGCATCTTCTGCAGACCTTAGTGCTTCCCAGGCCCTGCAGGAGAACAGCATTTGGCCCCATCAAAATTTGAGAGTCAAATATAAGCATTTTGCAGCCAAGATCTCCCATTTAAAAGCATTAAAAGTAGTGCTGGACCATGGCATTCGCTCAGGAACCTTACAAAGTCTCCATATGGGTGATGCACCCTGAGGTCTTTCCCCCAATTGCTGCGGCCCATGATCTGCTAGGGGAACTTACATTTGGACTTGATGGTCTTGAAGGTCTTTTCCAACCATAATGACTCTACAAATTTAGCCACCCACAAAGGAGCCTTTCTCTTAAATAGGCTTTGCTGCAGGGCTGCTTTAAGCAGGGACAGCTTTTGCTGGGCTATAACCAGGGAGAAAAAAAAATCTAGTTCTCCTGCAGCTTCCACAGCTGTAGTAATTACTCAGGGAGATTTAAGTGTTGCTCTTTTATTTGATGTGCTTACCTCCTCCTTCCCCTCCATGCAGACTTGAGAGCTCCCAACATTACCTCTCCTCAGGATCTGTTCACCAGAAGGCTTTAGGTGCTCATTAATTAACACCTAATTTGTGCAGGCCTCTGCTAGCAATTCTTATGCAAATTGCTCTCAATTTGTGCTCTGTTTTCTGCTGTGCTGCTTCCAAGTACTTTAAAAAAAAAAAAAAAAAAAAAGGCAGAATACAAAAGACAAATTGGGGAATGTATGTACAGGTTAATAAAGCTTTTCTCTTCCTCAGAGAGCTTTGCAGTAACCTTTGGTAATGTGCAGTACAAGCATAAATTACAAGCATAAATTTAGGGAGAAGATTAAGAGCACTGTAATGTCTGAGTGTTACAGAACATGCGAGTTAAGAGCTGTTGTTGGAGAGAGAGTATTGATAAACACTCACTGGTGTGTTGGTTATTAATGTGATGTTTTAATATAAACTGTTCTTCCTTTAGGAATATGTTAGATGATAACCAGAGGAGAAAAGAAAAGCTTCTTCTTATCACTGTGTCCATAGCACAGTATTAACATAGCATTTGACAAAGCCACATCTAATGTGATTTGCTTTTAATTTGTGCTCTTTATTAGAGTTTGTTGTAGCTGCCTAATTAAAGTTTGTGAGAGAAGTAATCAACCTTATTTCCATAGCAAGATCGGTTTAATAAGAACATAATGTTGCAGGGTTTTTTAAAGAAAATTAGGCTAAATCTACATAGTCCACATGGTGAAGTATGAACCCATGGAAACTCTAACACCAACTAGGGTGTCCAAAGAAAGGGGATATTACCTGAGGAAGGGGATTTTACCTGCCAGAGGTCTCCATCCGATGTATTTTTCACACCTGACAAATAAAATGGCATCAATTTTGATCAATTTTGTAGATACAAACCCAAACAAAAGACCATCATGTGGAGAGGGAGGTGGAAGCTAATTAGATTAGCTCAACTCCATTGAGGAAAAAGGCACCAGCAATTATGGGAAACTCTTGGCTGAGGGACTCTGGGCTATTTCTAGAGAAGGAAAGGTCTCTGTGTCGAGCTGTAGATCTTTCCATTTGCCCCCATAGCAAAAGCACTTGGCCTGGCACACTTGTAGCCAACTGTGTTTTTCTAACCACCGCTGAGACTTAGCACATGTCTATTCATCTAGGCAAAAAGTCATTCTAGCCTTATCTATTCTAGCTTCTAAAGAGCTCAGATGTTGCTTCAAAACATTGACTAATTCCTTAACAAGCCAAGCACTAGTCATTTGCAGCAGGGCAGGACTTTCACCAAAGATTGTTTATTGTGTCGCTTGCTCCCTTTCGTTCCTGAGGCCAAATCATTGCTGCTTGTTGTTGCGAGGCTGCAGGAGTCTCCTACGCTCTGCTCAGACACACAGGGTCTCGGATCAGTACAATGATGAACTTCTCTATCTATCTAGGCTGCTAGTTTTACTGCAGGGTAGAGAAAAAAAGAAGGAAAAAAAAAAGAAGCCTTCTGGAGGAGATACCTCCTTCTACCTAAGAGGTTCTGGCCTCTCATCGACTTGAGCTGTGCAGGAACGTGTGCTGCAGCCCCTTGCTTTCTCTGGGCACCAAAATCAAGCACGTAGTGACCGAGAAAGTCTGATCATGGGTAAAAAAATAAACAAAGAGGAGGAAACAAGCTCAAATTGGCCCCTTGGCTACAAGGGGAGCTTTGTAGGCATCAAAAGCATGAAGGCATCACCCTTTCCGAACAAATCCTGCCTTTTGTGGGATACTGTGTGCATGACCAGCCCTATGAGGTTGCCCTGCTGCTTGTTGAACCTCCTGCTCATCCCGAAGGGCCACATCATTTTGGAGTGGAGAACTGCTGCTCAGCACCGTGCGAGGAGCCCGTCGCTTTGGAGCAGTTCAGCAAGCTGGAGTCCCCACCTGCCCATGAATGTACTCCGAGCCCTGTTTGAGACTCTTTGACAAGCCATTGCACGCTCATTCCCTATAAAATCCAATCCACTTTTTGGTCCAGGGAAAGTAGGACCGCTTTGGTTAGCCGTTCAGGAGAGCCTTTGTGATACAACCTTTTTAAGTGGTTCAAACAGGAGGAGCAATGAGCTAAGCACTAAACTGACTGATCTCAACCAGCCTCGGGCTCAGGCTGAAGCCATGGGACTCTCAGTGAACTGCTTGAGCAAAAAGGGATTAAGGTTTCACCTCTTCTGTTTCCTTTGGAGCCTGGAACTGGATCTCATTATGGATATGCATGGCATAAATTCACTCCTACAATAACAATGAATAAAAGATAAATCCCATGGCTCTGAATCTTTCTACATCTAATGGCCGATGTGTGCGGCTGAGGATTAGAGGGACAACCTGATATATCTGGCTGCTGAACATCTTTTGCTGTTTACCTTTGCAGAGAGAGGACTCAGAAATAAGGCTTGTGGAGTGAAGTCCACTTAGTGGAGCCCATTAAACACTTGTGGAGTGAGGGAGCAGCAGATAAACAAAGCTCAGAGCTTCACTGGAAGCCTTGCAAACCCATGGCTGCAATAAAATCTGCCATAGGAATTAAAAGCTACCAGTTTGGAAGGCCATAAAATACACTATTTCTTCTTTATCTGCCTCCCCTGACTGAACTTGAAGTGAACAGATTTTCTTCTTTTATATAGAAACATTTCAGAGTGCTCCTTTTCAGCTAACAAACTGTAACAGTTTGGAGAGAACATAACTCGGGGACAAAGCTTTTCATCAGCTCTGTATTGAACTCCTAAGGGAACACACCACGCAAGGTCTGAGTTGTTCCAACACTCCCGGAGAGGGTTTTCTACTGTGTGGATGCAGTTTAGCTGTTGTCCAGCGGTGCATTAAGGTGCCCATTCTGTGCCCTCTCTGCAAGGTGACCTGATGCTCACATACATCCTGCAAACAGATGCCCCAGAAGCTCTCGCAGGCCAAGACACATGGAAGCATTAAGGTGGGCGTGTGCATTGCACACCTATTTGGAAGGCACGTGCAATCCACCAACTCTACTTTGATGTGAAAATCAACACAAGACTTGCTTTGGAGAAGGTGACAGAGCAGGCAAAGTATCTATATCTGGCTGCAAGATTTCCTTAGCCACCAGGGCCCCAGTGTCCTGGACGGAAGTTTTTATTGAAGGTGCAATAGCAGCCAGCTGGGGAGCACATTTCCCGTGGCTAAAGAATACATGCAAAGTCAGATGCATAGTGCACATGGCCATATGCTCCTGGCAAAAAGCTCAACATGCAAAACCCTGCTGGGGCTCACCCACCGAGCAAGCAGCTGGTTGGAACTCCTCTCCCACCTAGGAGGACACCTTAGGGAGTAGGCTATAGCCAGATCTTCAAAACCTTTCAAGACTGCAGAGTTAAGGCAAGATCTGAAGTAAAAAGTCATGGGGAGAAGCTGTAGCTCTAGGTGTGCCAATTAAAATGTGAGAGTGAACTAGCCTTGTTGAGTTGATATTTAGAAATGAAAATTGTGGATGGGAGCTGAAGGTTTTAGCCCAGCAATCCCTGACCCCCACTTCTCTGATAGTCATTTGAAAGCTTACCTAAATGCAGGGATGACTCAGGCTTTTCACAACAGAGCTTCAAACTCACCTCTGGAGTCCAAAGAGCCTCCTCAGGGTGGTGATTTGCACCTGAAAGGTGCAGCTGCAAAAATCCCAACCCAGCTCCTAGCCCACACAGGCCAGATCTTGACTAGACGCTCTTAATGCTGCCTTTTCTTTCAGGGAGGTTTATGCACTGATATGATATTTGCACTTGCCAAGGCAGAAGAGCCTGTAGATCTCATCACTTCAGCTGCCTGCTCAACTCCTTAGCGCTTGTGTGGGCTCCGCTATGTGAAATCGATGATGAACTCCCATCGTTTCCGATAGGAGCACGCTAGGAATGAAATAAAACACAATAGTAGCCTTTTAAGCTAGCTTTTAGCCAGTTCCCTGAGGACAGAGTCAGACATGCTGTCTATGCCAGATCAGCTTCAAAGTCGTTAGCTGAGAGTGCTCAGGGCAGCCGCAAATAGTCTGAGCTAATAAAAGAGCAGCTTCCATCGCCGAGTTGCAAACTTGTGCCTACCCTTAGCTATAAGAAGATGCTGTGGCTCTTCCAGGTGCCTAACTCGGATTTTGAGCATGGGGCAGAATCTTGAAGGACTGCTGCAGATCACTCTGGGCATGTCCCATTCACTTTGCTCAGAAACTCTTGCAGAAACCATCACTGCCCACAGGCTTTGGAAAGCCCTGCTTTGCCATCCAGGCTCTGTGAGAAGCCCAGAGTAGCTCAGCTCCTACCTCTAGCTCTGCTACAGCTGTTGAGCAAGGTGCTGGATACCCTTTTGCCTCCAGCTGCTTTTCTTTCATCTGAGTCTCTTGCCTGTCAAAATGTTCAGGAATTGCCTTTAAGTTTGGATTTGTGCTGCACTTACTGTAAGAGGTTTTTGATTGAAGCCAGAGGCTCTCAATGCCAGTACACAACACATACTGCGTTAGAATAAAAAGGGCTTGCATATGATGAGATGACGGAGTGAAGTGAGCAGATA